TACAACGCTAGAATCCGGTTTTCGATACCCGTGGTGGGCAGAGCACAGATAGCTCATTGCATAGCTTTGTGCTTAATTACAAACAAAACGTGATTTCTAAAACAATACAGATGAATTCTAATCTCAGACACCGAAATATGCAAGTTCACTTATCGTGTCTTAGGCCTAACATTATTTAAACATTTTAAGTACGGCCTATATTCAATAAAAGAGATAAATTAACACTGTACGTTTTTGCTTCAGTTGAGTTAGGGCTAAACATTACTGTACTTTCAACAAATACACTTATAACATTAATCTGTCATCTAACGTTAGATCTGTTTAAAAATTGTGTTTAACTTTTGATATGTTGTTGCACGAAATATGTACTAAAATATAGTTATATCCGTTGAAAGTGCGTGCGCATGCTAATTTAAATTGCAAGTTGCGCACGCATTTTCAGGACGTATGATTTTGAAAGATTACTCTCTCACCTCCTCGACCTTATAAATTGAGTCTACACTCGTTTTCTACTTGAAGTGACTAGAATTTATTATTTGATTTCCTGTCCTACTTTGATTTTATAAACGCCATTAACGAAACCTGAGGTGAGATTATATGAAAATGTCAGAATCTAACACAACCGGTTTCTTTGAGCTTAAAAGTCAAACTACTGGAGTAAAGACTGTTGGTCATTGCGTTACAGGTTATTTTTTATATATATTTAATGTTTCTTAGACCACGTAAGCCTGATGAATTGAATCTGATGGGATATATATATAAATACACATACATGATTATATAAAGGTGAAGGTTCAAAGGGTACAAAAGGAAACGTTTATCGTACGAAATGAATATATGTTCCCTGTCAAGTTGGAGATATTCAAATATTTTGTTTGAAGTTACTTCCGCTCATCGGGGATTAATTGGAAGAGCGTTTAGTTGAAGAGTTGTGATAATACTCTATGGACATATTAAGAAGTTTGAAATATCCTTTACAATGTTCAAGTCCACAGAGTTAGCTTCCTCTTGACATTTTATACAGTTATTATTAACTCTGTGGTACTTAAACACCCTTAAAGCTCCATGTGTTTTCTCAACATTTTATACAGTTATCATGGAGCTTTAAGGGTGTTTAAGTACCACAGAGTTAATATGTTTTCTCAACATTTTATACAGTTATCATGGAGCTTTAAGAGTGTTTAAGTACCACAGAGTTAATATGTTTTCTCAACATTTTCTACCTAACAGAGTTAATATGTTTTCTCAACATTTTCTACCTA